TAGCATATACCAAATCCAGCAGCAGAGGTACTTACAGCTAAAGCAGTCATTATCTGGGGAGTAGAAAACCAGAAAACTTTCTCTTTCTCTCCACTTAGAGGACAGTTGAGTAGCACTTTCAGTAAGGTAACAGCTGATAATACTATCTGTACAAAACATACCAAGGAAATAAGAATAATAAGAGTGGTCACTTCAAAAAAGATAAAAGATACAAGCAAAATGCAATGTTAAAAATAACAAGTTAACCAAGGTTTTATAAAAGTAAATGGAATTTAAGTACACAAAATACAGGTAGTTCCTGAGTCCATTAAGATGCCCATATACTGATCATATTTTTCAAAGAAATTTTCTGAAGCTTGCCAATACGTAGGCAATTGGATAGATAAGCACATTACTTAAGCATTAAATCAACAGATTAAGACTGCAGCACTAAAAATATTTTTTTTTTCTGAATGGTGCTCTTTAAATTTGGTCATGCATGATAATTAGCTTATACAAAAATTCCTAAAAAAATAATCCTCATGTAACTCAGGAACTACCTATAATATAACATTTGGGGGCAGAGTACACATTTTGTATTCAGAAAGTTTCTGGGTTTATACCCAACTCCTTCATGTAGGGGGCACAATGGCTTGGACACTGAGCTTGTCAGCTGGAACTGACAGCCTGGGTTCAAGATCTGAGTGCCTAGCAATGGGATGAGCTTGAAAGCACGCAAATGCGAGTAGATAAATAGGTACCATTTTAGTGGGAAGGCAATAGCGTTCCATGCACTTTTGGCATATAGCTCATGCTGGCCACATGAGCACAGACATTGTCTTCGGACAATGTTGGCTCCCTGGGCCAAAAAACAGACATCAGCACCACATCCTAGAGTCAGATATGACTAGACAGGGACACCTTTAATTTTTATCTTCTTCATGTAAAAAAAATACTCCATGTAAAGAATACAAAACAGAAAACCTGTTCAGCAACAAACTAATTCAAAAGAATGGAACTATATGAAGGCAAATACTAAGCATTATTGATTCAAATACATTTTTAACCAAAAAAATAACATAGTTCCTACTTCAGAATTTTGTTTCCAAAGATTGCAAACATTCAGTCCCTCAATCAGCAGTCTCAACATGGTAGAAAAGTCATCAATGGTACCATTCTCCACCAGCTGGGCAATCAATTCAGTTAAGGGAACATCTAGATCTTGAATCAACTGGCCTTTGATTTCAGGACCTGTAAGAGAAATCATCATCCAAACTCTTAAGGCCCATAAACTACTGATAGATGCCAAACCATTATTGCACAAAACTTGCCCTTTACCTCTCTTTACTTCTCCCATTTATTTGTCACTTATTGAAATGACAAACCATCCCATTCTTTTTCTTTATAGTGCAATAGACTTAATAGCATTTCTCTCACACCACCAACATCTCCTTTTCTGCATCCAGAAGGCAGGAGCAGGATAGAAAATCTAGCTTCTCCTGTCCTGTGAATGTTTTGCCCAAAACTCAAATTATTTCTATCAATAGAACTTTCTGTAAATTATAAAATGTAATAGCAAAATTTCACCCAGTGGAATAGTCGCGCCCGGCAGGAGACATCGCAATGCCACTAAAACTTCCTTTCCAAGATTAATAAAAGGAAAGGGTAATTCTGCAGATACTGTTAAACTATCATGCTAAATATTCTTTATCATAAGCCATGATGGTAGAAGTGCAAAAAGCTGCAATTCATTTAGATAGCTTCTAAAATAGGGAGGCTGCTACCATTATCAGGTAACTATTGTATTCCACACAACTCTCTGCTTCTATTCCCGCCAGTACGGCAGGTTTTGGGATACCGGGGGGGGGGGAGGGGGAGGGGAGAGAAGCAATATTTTTCATGCTCAGCAAAGAGATCTAACTAAATAATATCTCCAACCCAGTTAGGTATCAGGCAGCAGTAAAGAAGCCAATGAAATCCTACTGCAGTCAATCAACTGGCAGTGATCAACTATATTTTCAAAGAAATTAAAATCTATGATTTTAGGTAGGCGATTCATTTTGGTGACTTCAGTTCTTATTTCAATATAAGATTAAAATCCCCAGCACCTCACTTAGACTCCACCCCAAAACAGTTGGAAACCAACATTTTGGAAACATTTCTTTTTTTTTTTTGTCCTAAAGAGAGGGGATTAGGATTCCTTTTTAGGTGCCAAACAATATCCCCTAAAAATTCTAGGAACCGCCAGAAAACTAGGCAAATTGTCTTAAGCTCATCAAAAAAAAAAAAAAGATCTTCAGTGCACTATGTTAAATTCATATCACCGAATGTGTTTTCAGCAGGCTAGGAAGTACATAAAGGTGAAAAGGATATGATCAAGATTCTGAGCTCTGGAAGAGTCACTGGGTTCTCTTCTTCACTAACAATCTATTGGACTTTTAGGGTCATATCATAGTCATGATAGAAAAAGCATTTTTAGAGAGGCCATTAATCTACCACTGGTGGCCATCCAGTAATAATTCTGACCTGTCACCTCTTTCCTGATCTCTATTATTCCTATGTGCTGATTTTTGATCCTTGCTCAACACTGGCTACCTGTAACTGTTTCTAATCTACATTCTCCTTTCAACATTTAGGAGAGAAGTGAAGAAATAAGAATTGCATTTCCTTACCTGCAAGTAATTTTCTGACCAAATTAAATACGGCAATAGAAGTCACATGTGGGGGATACAGTTCTGGCATGGAACAGAAAGCAGTCAAAAACTGCAAAGCAGAGTGAAGGAACTGGAGGTTACCATCTGCCACGTCAAGTTCTCTCAATATTTGAACACAAAAGCTTTGATATAATTCCTTGTGAAAAAGCTGCCTGTTTTTGTCGGGTTTCATTGGCTCTTGTAGTTCATTCTCACCAGCTGCAGGAAGCATAGATTGAAAACAAAATGAATCTGCTTTTAGAAGAGTAGTAATATGTGGTATAAAAGCCAAATGTAATGGCTGGCCTTTTGTCTTGTTTCTAAGGCAGAACTTGATAGTCGCTCCTGTTTGCAACACGGTCTGTTTAAGAAAAACAGGTAGCATTCCTGAAATATGTAGTTTTCCATTGGGTTGCTGTTGCAGGTACGTAGCCAAAACATGACACAATGAAATTAATGCCACTAGAAGAACCTGGTCAGCTGCAGGGCTCCAATGCTCAGGCTGTCCAGAACTTGTATCACATGATTGGCAACTTGTTATAAAAGACAGGAACTTTTCCAGGTTTAGTTTCACACTCTGCCTCCTTTCTAGGGTTATCTGAAGATAGTGTTCCAAAAAGAGTTGGAGCTTGTGAAGAAATTCATCCCAAGCATCAATCTTCAAGACACAGCCAAAGGTCTTACAGACTGCAAACATAGAGTTGAGGAGAGCTTCGAGAACATCACTAGCATACAAAACCTTGAAGGATGAGTTTGCATGTCTTCCGGCCTGTAAGCATGCTAGAAGGTGGCAGCAGGTTGCCAAAAACTTTAAAGACAAGGCCTTGTTGCAAGAAATGCTTGCTCTGGTATTAACAGCCAAAGAAACCAACAGAAGAAAACATCGTGTGAAATCCAAAGGAAAGAAGCCGTCTACATTCAATGCTGAAATGACCTCTAGTATACTCAAGAGCTCTTTGATATGTTCTTCCTCCAAGGTAGCGTAAGAACTATCTTTCACTAATTGCAGTATATTGAAAGCAACTTTCTCCATAATTGCCCAGGAGACTGAAAAATCATTGCTAGACCTTACACTGGCTGCATGACCCGAAGGGATAGCTTCACACCACGGAGTATCTCCTGCACACAGCAACTGAAGAGGCTGATTGGCAATATTTGGAAATGTAGACGAAAGAACACTAGCACAGTGCTGGATTATTTGGCTTAGGAAAAAACAGTGCAGCATCTGCAGTTCTGGGAGAAGGGAACTGTGCAATAAATCCCGAGACAACTTCTCCATCGTGAATGAAAAATCGTCCTCATCAGCAAAAGTTGACTGGGTTTGCTTAACCAATAGTGTTTTCAGCAGCACCTCTGCAATGTACTCTGTATCATTCTCAGAAAGGTAAGGAAACAGGACAGGGAGATTTGAGACTACCAGGTGCCAATGTGCCACGGGATAAGTAAGAGCGGTGATACTACTTGCACTGCCATCCCAGGGTTCCGATTCTTCTTTGTTCATGGAAGCTCTTCCAGACTGAAGGATGAAAGCCCCAGCACTTTGCAAAGCCTGATGCGGTGCCTCTGTCCAACAGGTGGTGTGCATTAGCATCTTCTTCATTTTTTGAAGCACCAGCCATTCGGTACAATAGCTGCTCATTGGGGAGGAACATTTTACCAGCTTATTTACCTTCTCCCAACATTCTGCATCTAAACCAGAAAATATGGCTGAGAAGTCCCAGTTTTCTTCAGAAGGATCATCAAGCAACGGGGCTAAGGGAGAGCTATACTGCTTGCAATTTAAGGCAAAAAGAGTATCACTTTCTATGCACACACAAGCCAGAAGAAGAGCTGAGTTGCTGACCTTCTCTGTCCAAAGCTCAAGTTCTGTTGCTTCTGCCTCAGAACTTTTCAGCAGGTCAAAGAGAACTTGGATGACATTCTTCTGCACTGTCTCCAGCAGGTTTTGAGTGCGATGCACAACAGACAATGGAGTGGAATCATTTAAGCTCTTCATGTGGAAGAGAACCGAATACAGCAATGTGCTTATGGACAGAAGCTTTGAGGCCACATCGGCATCCCCCTTGACATGAGGAATGACAAAAGTCTGACATTTCTCCACCGCGAGAGCTACGATATCCAGCACCTGATTGGATGGCAGATCCAAAAGACACTCACATAGCTTGGCCCTGATACTAGCTGGCAACAGTGGCAGTCTTGATTCCTCTGCAGCAGGACGTAAAACGACTGATAAAACTTCTTGGAAGAGGTTTTGGAACTGGCGCAATTTGGCATAAGTGGAGAAGACGGTGCTAATGAGGGCTGTCTGAGCCTTCTTTGTTCGTGGCTCAGAGACCTCTGCATCAACCCAAGCCAAGGCCACTAAGTCATCCAAATCGGGATCCACAATCAAATGATTTAATGAAATCAAGGCCTTGAGACATCTAAACCAGGCAGGTATGGTGGCCTGTGAATGATTCATCAGCAACTGGGCTAATTGACGGTAAAAATTAAACTGGACTGCCTTGTGCCGAATCTGATCAGCAGCCACGTTATAAATATTATTGCTCAGCACCAAATTGAGTAGCTGCTCCACCGCAAGCAGCTCTGGGCTCCATTCTGATGCTGGAAGCTGGTTGTCCCAAAGATTCCCTCGCAGGCAAGAAATCCGTAAGCAATCGTAAAGTTTGGTAAGCATGTGAAAGCAGACCAAATGGTCTTCGGGCTTATTGTAAGTCTCTAAAAAAAGCTTGAAGAGCAAAGGTACTGAATGCGCTACCACCTTTCCCCGAAGAGCTTGTTCGCAAAAGGCGGCGTCTCTTAAAGAAGCCTGAACTGTATTGGCTGGGAGAAGCAGATTTTTCAAGCCTCGTTTCTTTGTGCCAACAGATTCCTTCTCTTGTAACAGCTCTTCTCTGTAGGACGACAAGAGCTCCTGTTGGAAAATGCCAGCCTTGAGCAACGTCTCTACGTGATTTCGGACTTCCTTGCTGAGTTGTGGATGAATGCGATCATCATCTGCATCAGTCCATACTTTCATTGTTAACAAATATCTAAGCAGTAAGCATGGCTGCAGCAGTTGCTGGATCACTTGTCCAAATACGCGATTTGCATTGGTTTGCTGCCGCTGAATTAGAAGGTATTGCCTGAAGGTCAGTTGAAGGACTTCAAACAACTGGAGGGACACAGCATTTTCTGATGATAACTGCCAACAGGTTAGCCAGGACAACTTACTCAAAAGATGTACCAGCAGTTCAAATTTTGCAGTATAAACTATTGAAAGAGGAGGTTTGGAGAGGATGCCACTACAACAGCTTAGCACTGCCTTGACATTCTTCAGTGTTTTTTGATTGTAAGCAAGAGAAAGATTTTCATTTATGACCTAAACACGAGCCAAGGGACAAAACAGAAGTTGTGTTCAAGGATCTGTATCAAAGTTAAACACAGTGTATTTATTATTATCTGATAAATCACGTGGTATAAACACTTTTCTTTCCCTCCTTTTACAATTTACTGCACTACCTAAACAATCTGTTCTGGCTCTTTATGACAGTAATTATGAAAATTCAGCCTCATCCTGAGGACCCAAAAGCAGACAGACAAAACATCCCTTACAAATGGATTATAGATAAGGAAGGGTCTATGAAGGTGAAAATCAAATCAGGCAATGACTTAGTAAACCATTTTTTTAAATCATTCTAGCACAATCTGATTTTTAAAGCAATGTGTATCTTAGTGGATTTTTACTCCAAAGAAGCATTTCTTATTGTCAAGCCCCACATAGTTGGCACTAAGATGAAAGAACCATACCAGAATTCAGAGAGGCATATTTAATATCACTCAGAGTAAAAATATAGGTGACCTTGAGGGCACAGATAAACCTCCAAGTGGCCTCAACAACTTTCAGAAAGAGTAATAATGACCAAATAACTGCAAGGAATATAAATCCTTCCATTGGAAAGATAAGAAGCAAAACATCTTCAAGCAAAAACAAAGGAAGTCCAGTTGCCTCCTGAAAAGCCATCTTTGGGACAACTGTGACCTGTATGACTGAGAATCTCCATAGACATTCACGTAAAAATATAATCTTGAAATCTTAAAAGTCCCTAAACCAGTGATGGCTAACATTTTTGCCATCGTGTGCCAAAAGCGGGGGGAGCGCAGGGGGGTCATGCGCAGGCGTGCCCACACCCATAATTCTATGCATGAGACACACACAACCTGTGCATCCAGCGCAACCCTCCCCGTGCATGCGTGTGCGAACCCTGCTTTTTGAATGCAATGGTCCCGTTTTTCACCCTTTCTGGGCTCTAGCAATTTTCTAGGAACCTGGGAAGGGTGAAAACGACCCCCCCCCCAGACCCTCTGGATGCTTCAGGAGGCTTCCTTGAAGCCTCCGGAGGGCGAAAAACTATGGCCAACCCGAAAGTCCATTCCCGAACTTCCGGTTTGTGTGTTGGGTTGTTTTTTGGCCTCTGGAGGGCAAAAAATGGCCGAAAATGAAGGACAAAGTCAGCTGGCCAGAATGCGCATGCGCAATGGAGCTGACAAGGTGACACCACACATGCCCTAACAAATGGCCCCACGTGCCACCTGTGGCATGCGTGCCATAGGTTTGCCATCACAGCCCTAGACAGTCTTTGGAGCATTTCTTTTCTTTACCCTCCTCGCCATATCCAGGTTGTGCTGCCTTCTTTCACATCAACTGAATCCTCTATCTGCTTCTCAGAGTCTCTCATATTTTGTCACAAAAAAACCAAACATATTTTACCTATTCTCAGAAGACAAAAATGTAATGCTCTGTTAAAACTTCACAACAATTAGTGGGATTCTGTTCTTGAATAACATGTAAGATGATCAAGTGTAACAAATCAAATCAAACCTTTATTGTCAATGCACAACATGTGTACAATGAAATTGAATTAGCCTCCCTTGGTGCAGCTCCCCCCTCCCAAAACACAAATTACATCTCAACAACTCAATAAATGAAAGAAATAGGCTCCCTAAACCCAAATAAATAATAACTAACACACATTCCTATATACCGATATGTACGTAACATTATATTATATTACATTGGTATGAACATGTTACATGTTGCGCTAGCCCTGCAATCAATATTATTTGGGTGGGAAGACATGGCATCTAGTATGAACATTTTAAAGCATAATGTTCTAAATTCTCATTCACAACTCTATCTTATGAAGATACATATTCTTTTAAAAAACACCCCTATCTATAGCTACAATGTACAATAGTGATACTAAGTTAAAATGTCCAGCTATTGGCTAGTTTGCCAATTTGCACTTCTCTGTGAACATATTAGTATCAGACAATATTCTTGCAAGTACTATGTTTCTATGTGCTAAACATACACACCCGCTTATAGATGTTTATAAATGACTGCTGGATCGTAATAGTATTGCCCAAGTTGGCATCTTCCAGATGTGTTGTAAGAGTAAATAAAGAATTCCCTTGCTGGAATTCTTTGAGTTGCAACCGAAACACAATTGGAGACAATCAGATTATTATTGTAGAATTGCAGAAAAATTTGTAGCAGATATTGTGATGTAAAGAGAAAAGATTCAGGATAGTCAGCAAGAGCTCAAAGCAATCGGACACTATTCCCAGAGGAAGATGGATCTATGTAAAAGTTTGTTTATTTATAAACATACCTGTGCAATTGTAAAGCGCAGAGTGACTGTTTTTTCATTTTTGAAGAGATCCTGCAGCTTTTTGCTGTGAATGATGCTGTCCAGGTAAATCCAAAGCTTCTCAATTATCTCATCTGGCAATTCAAGTTTCTTATTGTAGCAGGAAATCAAGCTATGACTTACCCAATCAAGTAAGACCTGTATCCCCCCAAATACCCATGGAGACATATTAATCATGATTATTTTAGATAGGATAAGGACAGTTGGAACACAAAGCAGTTTGAGGCAAATAATATGATTCCTAAAAATAAGCAGTTCTGTTTCACTAATACAGGACATGGAAGGCCAACTCAATACTTGTGTGTAAACGGCAGGCTTCCAGTATTGTGATTAAAGATGACAGTGGCAATATGAAAATATAGAGATTCATTCTACCTCGTTATTAGCAACTCCTTCATCACCTTGCACATCTGTTATATAACTTGCAACTAAAGCTGCCTTTACTTGTAGGACTATATCTGTTCTGTCCCAGGCTTCGTTAGAAAGCAAGAAGCAAAGTCTTGGTCCCGACAAAATCTCTTTTATTTACACGACTGTGAATTCCTTTTATTCACAGTCAGCAAGGCGTTAGCAGTCTTTCAGAGGAATGTTTATCCACACGCACCTTATCTCGTTTGGAGCGCTGCCAGATCACTAGTTTCCAAACACAGGGCAAAGCAAAACTTGGTACTTATAATGATTATAAGAGTCTCTTATAATCACAAACAGAACTTTCCAGACCGAATAAAGGAATTGTTTCCTGCAAAAGCCCACTCCCTGTTCGTTCCTCTTTTGTTCCTATGGGAGGGGCCAATTGCCTCCAAGGTGTGGCTTTACTCTTAAGTCGACGCTGCTTTCTTTGTTGTTCTTGTCTTCTGGCAGTTCTGCACATGTGCACACCGGAAACAGGCTCCAACTGTTCCTCTGCTTCACTGTGTCTAACTCCCTCTCTGCCTCCAAGGCAGAGCCCTCGTTTGAGCTTTCCTCAATTCCCAGAACTGGCCCATGTTCCTCCACAACCTCCTCACTGTCCAACTCTGCTGCCAGCTCTGCTGGTCGCCGATGGGCCACAACAATATTTGGGAACACATGTTCTTTTTCTTTTCTTTTCCTCACAATCAAAGAGACATTTCCCAATTTCCAAAATGCCCATAAAATATTATTTAAATGTATAATTTGGATTCTATGTTTATTAGATGTCCATGGGTGGGTGATGTGTCCCTTCCAAAAATATACTAAGGCTACATTTTCATACGGGTGGAGACATTAGGAACTTCAGTGGGATGGCAGAATACATTTAATTTTACATGAGAAACAAAAACATAAATAAGACCTACTAGCATAAAACCGTGTAAGTGATATCCACTCTTACATTCTAAACCATTTTGCAAAAGAGTAGATTTTACAAGTAGTCTGCCTGCTGACCAACTACTCTCTATGATAATTGGTTGCAACATTTCTTAGATTTTTCTAGATTAGCAACCAACCTGGAAAATAATGAATTATTCTCCCAAATTACAAAAGCTTTCCTGCTACTAACAGACCCTTAACTGTAGATAAGTTACTATGTAGAGACTTAACAAAATCCAATCCTGTATAGCATACTAAATCACATGTCTTTGGTTTTAGTCAATATTGGCCTTGTGTGCCCAGTGATATGTCCTATATTCCCAGGAATATCAGTGGTGCTATTAAGAATCCTACATAGTACCTTTAAGATTTTTTTTAGTTTGATTTTGAAGGGCAATGTACAAATTTTTAAAATAAAACAATAAGATCTACCCTGTTTCTCTGAAAATAAGACCTTCCTGGATAATAAGCCCAATCGGGCTTTTGAGTGCATGCACTAAAAAAAGCCCTCCACCCGAAAATAAGCCCTCCACGAAAATATTGCAACCCAGCAGCAGCCATGGAGTGGCCACGTTCGCCACCTCCTGCACCTCAAAAATAATAAGACCTCCCCAAAAATAAGGCCAAGCGCTTATTTTTGGGGTAAAAAAAAGACCCTGTCTTATTTTCGGGGAAACACAGTACTGTATTTTTCAGAGTATAAGATGCTCCGGAGTATAAGATGAACCTTAGTTTTTGGGGAAGAAAATAGGGAGGGGAAGTCTGATTACCAGGTATTCATCTGGCTAGCGTTCTTAGCTTGGTCAGCTTCAGCACATTAGTTTGCTGGTTCAGCACATTAGTCGCTTTGCTTGTTGGGGCTGAAAGGCAACTTCTAAAGCACAGCTGATCGTCTCATGGTGCTCGAGTTAGTAAAGCAGGCGATGAACAGATGGAATAAGACAAGCAAGTGGCTCCACGAATTTGCCATTTTGGCCTCTGCGCCTGATGTTTTCAGCCTCCAAATGCTCCGTTTGAGACCCGTTCAAGGATGTGGGGATC